GGGGCCGCGTGGTAGAGTGGCGGGGCCGCGCGATGGGGCAGCGGGGCCGCGAGGAAGGGCGGCGGGGCCGATAGGTAGGGCGGCGGGGCCGCGCGATGGGGCGGCGGGGCCGCGAGGAAGGGCGGCGGGGCCGCTAGGTAGGGCAGCGGGGCCGCGCGATGGGGCGGCGGGGCCGCGAGGAAGGGCGGCGGGGCCGCTAGGCAGGGCGGCGGGGCCTCGCGATGGGGCGGCGAGGCCGCGAGGTAGGGCGGCGGGGCCGCGCAATGGGGTGGCGAGGCCGCGAGTAAGGGCGGCGGGGCCGCTAGGTAGGGCGGCGGGGCCGCGCAATAGGGCGGCGAGGCCGCGAGGTAGGGCGGCGGGGCCGCTAGGTAGGGCGGCGGGGCCGCTAGGAGAGAGGCGGCGGGGCCGCGAAGATGGGCGGCGGGGCCGCTGAGACGAGTGGCGGGGCCGCAGTGAAGGGCCGCTAGGGCGGCTCGACGAAGTGAGGGCCCGGAGCGCGACTCGGGCTGAGCGCGCTTCGGGCAGGAAAAAAAAAATCGATGTGGTGGGCCCTAAGCACAGTTCCCAAGGGGGAACCTGCTCGATACCATGAGAAGATTTGAACAAGAATGAATGAACTATGAATGAAGTGAGTACATATAGGAAACCCTAATTGGGTTGTACCCCCTATGGGATACCCCACTATAGCCTACACAACAGCATAAGCTACAATGTTCTGACACGAAGTAGCGGTAACTGGGTCGCGCTACCTCGCTGGCAGTCGCCCGAGTCTTCAACGGTCCACGTCAACGCCATCACGATGAAACGGGCTGTCGCCGCTGGAGCTGACGTGTACGCCGTGGATATAGCATTGGTAGGAGCAGCAGAGCAGCCGAGCGATTTTCAGAAACTGTTGGCAGCAGTACCGCCCGACCTACAGGAACTGTTGAAACGGTACCCGGGGATTTTCCCGGACGACTTACCAGAGGGGCTGCCACCTCAGCGAGCACATGACCACCGCATAGAGTTAGAACCCGGGGCACAGCCAACCGTACAGCGACAGTTCAGACTGACACACTCGACGAGCTGAGGAAGCAGTTAGATTACCTGTTAGAGAAGAAATTCATCCGACCGAGCTCGTCACCGTTCGCCGCACCGATACTGTTCACACCGAAAAAAGACGGAGGGTTTCGTATGTGTATCGATTACCGAGCACTGAACAGGGTAACAGTCAAATCGCGATACCCCATTCCCCGCGCCGACGAACTGATCGACCAACTGCGAACAGCACGGGTTTTCTCGAAAATAGACTTACGGGGGGGTTACCATCAGATTCGGGTCGAACCATCGGACTGCGCCAAGACAGCATTTAGGACTAGATACGGGTCATTCGAATACACCGTGATGCCATTCGGACTGACCAACGCACCGGCGACATTTCAGATGACCATGAACGAGGCGTTTAGGCCACTCTTAGATAAATGCGTGACAGTTTACCTCGACGACATACTCGTCTACAGCAGGGATAAGCAGCAGCACTTAGCAGATCTGGAAGCAGTTTTTTAAGTTTTAGACGAGCATCGCCTACTGACCAAGGGTTCCAAGTGCGAGTTCTTCCAGGATAGGTTAGAGTTTTTGGGGCACGTCATTTCGGAGGCTGGGGTTGAAATTGACCCCAAGAAGCTGGACACGGTCAAAGCGTGGCATCCCCCCACGAACATCACGGAACTGCAGAGTTTTTTAGGGTTCGTTAATTATGTCCGTCGGTTCGTCTCCGACATGGCACAGTTAACTGCCCCGCTGACGGATTTACTGCGGAAGGGGGTCGCTTTTACGTGGGGGGAGAAAGAGCATGCTGCCTTCTCTGCCCTGAAAAATGTTCTCTGTTCACCGCCCGTCCTGCGCATCGCCGACCCACACCGCCCCTTCGAGGTTGTTACAGACGCAAGCGACATCGCCATTGGAGCCGTACTGCTACAGGATTTCGGCAACGGCCTACAGCCCATCGCATACGAGTCACGAAAACTGCACCCGCCCGAGAAAAACTACCCGATACACGACCGCGAAATGCTTGCGATCGTGCATGCGTTCAAGGTGTGGCGCTGTTACTTGACCGGCGCAGACGTGACAGTACGGACAGATCACCGATCACTACAGTACCTCCGCGCACAGCCCCACCTCAACCCACGACAGATCCGCTGGCTCGATTTCCTCGAGTCGAACTTCCACTACACAGTCACTTACAAAAAAGGCGCATCCAACATCGCTGACGCACTGACCCGCCCCACTGCCCAAATCCACGCGATACTACTCGCCCAGACCAGCCCGCTACTGACAGGACTATTTACCCACGGATATCAAACGGACCCATTCTTCACAGGAGGAAATTCGCAGCAGTTCGCAGCGGCCAAGGGAGTCTATTACGTAAAAACCGGGACCGACCGCATCTGGGTACCAGGGTACACACTGCTACGGGAATTACTGTTACAGGAGGCACACGACGGAGTTACCTCGGGACATTTCGGAGTAGAAAAAACACGGCAGCAGCTGCAGCGGTATTATTACTGGCCCGAGATGTTGACCGACGTTCAACGACACGTGGCATCGTGTCCCACTTGCCAGATCATGAAGTCATCACGGAAGCGCCCGGCAGGACAGTTGCAGCCGATCCCACCCCCAGAGCGTGCTTGGCAGCAGGTGACGATGGACTTCGTCACGGGGTTACCGGCCAGAGCAAGTGGGAATGACGCGATCCTGGTCGTCGTCGACCGACTGACGAAAATGGCACACTTCGCAGCCTGCAAAAAATCAATCACAGCCGAAGAAACAGCCCGCCTCTTCATCGCCACCGTCGTTCGACTGCACGGGATACCAGCATCGATTATAAGCGACCGAGACACGAAATTCACCAGCAACTTCTGGCGGAACCTATGGCAGCAGTTCGGCACGCGACTACAGTTCAGTTCATCATACCACCCCGAAACCGATGGACAAACAGAACGGACAAATCAGACCATGGAACAGCTCATCCGGGCCACGTGCGACGACCCAAACACGTGGGAACCGCAACTGCCACTCATCGAATTCGCATACAACAACTCACCATCCGCCACGACCCAACAGTCACCGTTTTACCTGAACTACGGACAAGACCCAACAGTACCCATGACCCCGAATCCCGACAATCCGGTTCCACGCGCGCAACAGTTCACCGAAATTTTGCAAGCAGCACGGACCAGGGCAGCGGACGCAATTAGAAAGGCTAACGTCATCGCTAAACGCAACGCCGACCGCCACCGCCGACCAGTCACTTACCAGCCAGACGACCTCGTACTACTCGACACTCAAAACCTCCGCCTGCCCATTACCCCAAAACTCCGCCCCCGATATTGCGGGCCGTTTCGCATCAGCCACATGATCACACCCGTCACCGCCCATCTCCTCCTCCCTGCTGACGGGTACGTCAGCCCGTCATTCCACGTCAGCCTGCTCCGCCCATACGTGCCATCCACCAGCCAACTGCCCCGCAACCGCCCCGCCAGCATGACCCGACCACCGACTGAACCGATCATCACGCCTGAGAAAATACTAAGCCATCGAGTACGTGACCCACAAGGAGCTCGCCGCATCGAATTCCTGATACGATGGAAGGACCGCACGCCCACCGAAGACAACTGGGTCCCCCTGGATAGAATTGAGAATCACCCTGTCCTCACGGAGTACCTGCGAAGCCGAAATTTCCGCGATGTACACGCGCTCTCGTAGGAGGGGCCTCCTTGGGGAGGGGGGTAGTGTAAGGAAAAATCCTTTTCCTTACTTCGCGTCCCTGCTCAGCGCGTACACCACTGTTCCCGCCAACAGCACCCAACAGTAATCCGTTACCACTCGCGAAACTCGCCTCGACACTATTCCCGCCACTGTTCACGACGCGACCCAACCTCACGGTTCGGTTGGTAACCCGCGCTCCGGACCTCCGCCTCGACAATTCCCAACCTCGGCGCCAGGCCCGTCGCGCACCCCATTTTCCACGCATAACCGTTACCACTGTAGTTTCGCTATATATTCTTCGCTCATGCTTTCGCTCATTGTACTTTTTGCTTCGATAGTGCAATTCTCGCTCGCTCACTCAATTGCACTCGTAACACAAAAACATGATAAACTTTGTGTTATTGTAGTGTTCAGTAGTTATGAGTTTTCTTCTTCATGCATTGTCTGCAAGCGAGCTTCCAGTAACACTTGACTTCAAGCTTTCGCGACAAGCTTTCGTCGCCTCGCGAGTGGGCACTGTAACTCTTTGTATGTCGCAAAAACGAGCCCCTTCCTAGTTGGGTAGCACACTGGAGTTCTATGCGAACTTCGCTAGGGAGGGCTGAGCGTAGTGAAATGCGAACATCCCCGTGCGCGCAGCGAATTCAATCCAGCAGTGAAACTTGCGGGGACCCGCAATAATTCAGCTGCTTGCGCTGTGATAGGCTGCGATTTGTTAACTCAGTAATGTCGAGCTCCTCCACACCACCGTTCATCAGTGGCCCACGCGTTTCTCGCTTTATCGAATCCGTGCAAACGGGACCTCAAAGACGATCGCGTTCAAACTTGATATATTCAGCACAAAGCCTCCAGCCACATCAATGTGACCCATTCCAACCACCCGATCACGTTCCTAGGGCACCTATTGGGACTGCGAGCCTCGAGCGTTGGGCTCACCCACTGAGAGCACCTGAATTCGTCTATAAACCACCCGCCAGGAGCAGACATGGAAATATATTTTCCGCCGCTTCTTTCGTGCTGTATGATAGCAGCGCCAGCAGCTTTACCTTCGTATTATATCATACACTGTGTATCTTACTACTATCTACCACTAGCCTCTTGTTGTACCATCTCATCTCACGACCATCTTCGCCTAGCATTGCGCTATTCATTGCCCGTACGTCACGCGTGCGACAAGCTGCGTCACCCGAGGAGCTTGTCGGTTGTCGACGAAGACGCGACTCGTGACTCGGTTGCGGGTGCTACCCGCTGACATGGCGGCTGACTCCATCATGGCCTCCTCTCCTGTCGCGCTGCTTCCGCTCCTCGTCCTTGCCGTCATCTGCGGTGAGCCATTCCATCCTTGTCAAATTTCGGCTCCCGCTTCTCAAGTCGAGAAGCGCGTACGCTTGCCTTTCCTCGCACCCCTCTCACCCTTCTGCTACCTCTCATTGCCCCTCTGCATCCAGCGATCGTCACGGCTCACGTGGCGGCAGGCGAGCGCGGCGCGGATCGCCTGAACGCGCGCGCGCGAGTGCGCGGCGCCGGCGGCGCAAGCGGCGAGCCTACTATGTCTGCCAGAAGCCTCAGAATCGAGAGCACAGCGGGAAGCAGAAATGGGAGCACGCGGGTGGGGGTGGGCGTGGGGGTGGGCAGCCCAGGCGGGGCGGTGGAGGCGAGGGTGCAGGTGGGCACGCAGATCACGGTGTCGGGCGTCAGCCTAGACATTAATTTCGACACTCTCCGCTGCTTCACCTTCCCCAAGGCCACGCTCAAGGCGCTCAAGGCGGGGCGGGACGTACAAGTGTGGTGGAACGGGCTCACGGGCGGCAGCAAGAGTGGCAGCAAGGGCGCGGGGAGTACGCGTGGGAAGGAGGCGGGCACGGAGGGGCGGGCGGCGGGTGCGGCGTGCAAGCAGCTGCAGTTCTTTGCCAACCCCGCCTGCAAGGGCAAGGCGCTGGATGAGGTGCTGAAGCCGCAATACGCCGGCCTGCGCAAATTCTTCAACATACCCAGGTGGGTGATGGGGGCACGTGGTGATGGGGGCACGTGGTGATGGGGGCACGTGGTGATGGGGGCACGTGGTGATGGGGGCACGTGCGTCATGGGGACATAGGTGGTGGGGCCAGGCGGGTAATGAGGGCTGGTGGGTGATGTGCCCTGGTGGGTGATGTGCCCTGGTGGGTGATGTGCCCTGGTGGGTGATGTGCCCTGGTGGGTGATGTGGTGATGTGCCCTCTACGAACGCCTCTGGCGTGAGCCATTGTCGTGTCTCTGGTACTGCCGCCCTAATTTGCCTCTAACTTCTGCTCTGAACGTGTTCTTAACGCATGTCCTAAACGTGTTCAACGTCTGATCCGATTGTGCTTCTGACGTCCATGCAGCACAAAGAAGATCTCCCGATGGACTTCTGTTTCCTGCAAGCCTGGTGTGTACCTCTGCCACCTTGCGTACTTGCTCCTTTCCTTGGTGCCACCTTGCCTCCTTGCCTCCTTTCCTTCATGTCTCCTTGCCACCTTGCCTCCTTGCCACATTGCCACACAAATCGCTTGCTTCTCCTCTATGAAATCGAGGTTCTTGCATTTCAAATGGTTTCACCGGCATCTCTGCTGCCCCCATGATTGCTTTGCAGACGTCACCTGCCAGCACGCCACGTGTCCGAGAAACTCCACGTGCATGCCAACGAGTGACAGCAAGGGCATCACCTGTGCATGTAACCAGGGCTTTTCTGCCGTCAATGGCACTTGCCTAGGTACGCTACTGGTGACGCTACGAGCAAAGGCGGTTGCCTAGTATGCTGGCGATGACACCCTCTTGTCTTGACACCTTCTCTTCTCTTCTCTCACACTCCCCTCTTGTCTCCTGCTCTCTCCTGCGCTTATGCCTCGATCGATGTAACATGAACCTGCCCATCTAATTTGAGATTGATATTAAGCCATCGTAACAAGAACCTGCCCTAGTTTTCATTAAATATCACTCGCATCTCAGCACAAATTTTCTTGTGTCGCTTGTGTCACAGGCAAATGCGCTTCGACAAAGTGTGGGGCCAACGCCACGTGCAGCACGGATGAGGCAGGGGATGCATCCTGTTCTTGTGACAAGGGCTTTGAAAGGCTTGCGGATGGCACTTGTGCTGGTGAGACATGCTGCTTCGGAACCCAAAAGCATGTTTGGAGTGTATTTGTTTGAGTTGCTTCGTTTTGCCGTTCCGCAAACCTGTCTGAACACACAGTTTCTCATTCTGCTTGCAATCTTTCTTTGCTGTTGACTTGTCATCCCGTTCCCAACCTTATCGTGTCATAACTCACCGTTCCTCGTACCGCTTGCGTCACAGGAAAATGCGGTTCGATAAAGTGTGGGGCCAACGCCACGTGCAGCACGGATGAGGCAGGGGATGCATCCTGTTCTTGTAACAAGGGCTTCGAAAGGCTTGCGGATGGCACTTGTGCTGGTGAGACATGCTGCTTCGGAACCCAAAAGCATGTTAGGAGTGTATTTGTTTGAGTTGCTTTGTTTTGCCGTTCCGCAAATCTGTCTGAACACACAGTTTCTCATTCTGCTTGCAATGTGTCTTCGCTGCTGACTTGTCATCCCGTTCCCAACCTATCTTGACAAAAATTACCGTTCCTCGTGCCACGTGCATCACAGGCAAATGCGGTTCGATAAAGTGTGGGGCCAACGCCACGTGCAGCACGGATGAGGCAGGGGGTGCATCCTGTTCTTGTAACAAGGGCTTCGAAAGGCTTGCGGATGGCACTTGTGCTGGTGAGGCATGCTGCTTCGGAACCCAAAAGCATGTTTGGAGTGTAATTGTTTGATTTGATTCGTTTTGCCGTTCCGCAGATCTGTCTGAACACAAAGTTTCTTATTCTGCTTGCAATGTGTCTTTGCTGTTGACTTGTCATCCCGTTCCTAAACTTATCTTGATTGAACTCACCTTTCCTTCGTCCCACTTGCATCACAGGCAAATGCGGTTCGATAAAGTGTGGGGCCAACGCCACGTGCAGCACGGATGAGGCAGGGGATGCATCCTGTTCTTGTAACAAGGGCTTCGAAAGGCTTGCGGATGGCACTTGTGCTGGTGAGACATGCTGCTTCGGAACCCAAAAGCATGTTTGGAGTGTATTTCATCACAAAAATCAAGCAGCGAAATTCCTCCCGAAATGAGTTTGTTCAAACCTTTTCCAAATGATTTAAAAACGTAGGGTTGGGAACTTTTTAAGAAGAAAGTATCGAAGTTTTTCTAGATGTTGTGTCAGATGCTTTCCAGATGATTTCACACGTTTCGAGAGACTTCGGAAGAAGGCAACCCGAAGTCAGCCTTGACTATGCAAGAAGTTCCGCAAAACCCTTTAATGTAAAAAGGTGGATGCCATAACAACTCTTTATTGTATTGGAAATGAGCTAGAATATCATTTCAAAATATGCAATGCTATAATCTGTAGGTGGTCAATTTCAACCATTGTAAACATCGAAAATCAATAATTTGATTTAATTATGACATTACATCAAGACAAATGGTTACGCAAAGCTACCAGAGACCTAGTCGCCTACACATGTTCCATCACGTCAATAATTTAGGCATGATCTTGGCAAAAAAACGCGGTTGAACCTGAACAAACAGCACCGCCTGCAGCTAGCAACGATTTCAGCAGGTGAGGTAAACCAAATAAAAGCAGTTTTTAAGAAACCAGCGGTGATTAAATCGTGTGCTTACCACGATTGCAATCTCTGAAGAGTTGTGAATTAATAAAAGGAAATCATCGACATAACGAACAAACGAGATTGTTAGATTAAATATCAAAACGGATTAACGCATGAGTAGATGGTGACGCGATCAATAAGATAACCCCGCGACCTGTGAAAAGTGAAGGGAAAACTGACGTGGGGACCTGCATATGCACATCCAGAAGTCAGTACGAGGTGAGAAATGTCCCGACTATTCGTAAGTGGATGGACTTCATGAAAAAAGTGACACGCAATAAATGCGGTTCGCTGGTGATAGGGCAGCAAATCGGTAGAAACTATGGCGGAAGTGACCAAGAGACTAAGCGAAGGAAGTACGAGGAACCAAACTAACGAAGTCAGAGCCACCAAGGAATAATAAAAATTACGGGAAGTGTCTTCCACCTTTGAGCTGGTGTGAAGGGAGAGTGCTAAAGTTGCGCAGGGGATGGTTGGGTTGGGACACTACCATAGCTGAGCTGGATGTTGTCTAGGTGGGTTAGATGGGCGGCCTGGATTGGTTGGGCTTCTGAGCTGGATGGAGCAAGGCAACATGGATTGGTTGGAATTATTTCTGGGTTGGTTGAGGCATGGATTGGGTAGGGTAGGGAGCGATCGAGGGCAGCTGGATGAACGGGGGGTGGAGCGCAATCAGTGGGGGGTGGGGAGCGCGATTGGTGGGGGTTGGAGCGAGATTTGCTGGATATCGAGGGTGTTTGGTGGGGGTGCTGCTGGCGAAGGTTTGACTCTAATAATTGTTTCGATACTTACAGCTATTACAAAATTACAGTTACAGATACATTCTTAATTTCAGATCGATTCACTTAAAAACGAGAATCATAATAAAACATTGAGGTTTCGTAACTCAATAAGGAACTAATTAACGTATTTCAAGAATGAAAATCGAATATTCAAACATAAACATAACTGTCAGCTTTTTAAGAAAACGGTACCCAACCACACCGACCCTCACCGAGTCACAGTACCGATTCACGCCATCGATCGGGCTCGGATGAATAAGGAGGGTACAGCGATGGATTGCCCAGTACTGATCCACGGGAAAATACAGGGAGCAGCAGTGAAGATTTTTATCGATGGAGGAGAAAGCCACAGTTTAGTTAATACCGCAACTGCACGGAAACTACAACTGACACTTAGTCGGTGCTTACCAGAGATCGACGCACGCTTAGTAGATGGCGCGCCGCTGGCCATACGGGAGAAGGTGGAAAGAGTAAAAGTTCGCTGCGGGGGAAACTTCGGCTTTACACAGGAAATGCTCGCGACGACATTGGATGGGCACGACATTTTACTGGGGCGTGATTGGCTGCGACGCTACAACCCGCGAATTGACTGGACGACGGGTAGCTGCACTGTGCGAAGTAGCGGTAACTGGGTCGCGCTACCTCGCTGGCAGTCGCCTGAGTCTTCAACGGTCCACGTCAACGCCATCATGATGAAACGGGCTGTCGCCGCTGGAGCTGACGTGTACGCCGTGGATATAGCATTGGTAGGAGCAGCAGAGCAGCCGAGCGATTTTCAGAAACTGTTGGCAGCAGTACCGCCCGACCTACAGGAACTGTTGAAACGGTACCCGGGGATTTTCCCGGACGACTTACCAGAGGGGCTGCCACCTCAGCGAGCACATGACCACCGCATAGAGTTAGAACCCGGGGCACAGCCAACCGTACAGCGACAGTTCAGACTGACACAGCCCGAGCTCGACGAGCTGAGGAAGCAGTTAGATTACCTGTTAGAGAAGAAATTCATCCGACCGAGCTCGTCACCGTTCGCCGCACCGATACTGTTCACACCGAAAAAAGACGGAGGGTTTCGTATGTGTATCGATTACCGAGCACTGAACAGGGTAACAGTCAAATCGCGATACCCCATTCCCCGCGCCGACGAACTGATCGACCAACTGCGAACAGCACGGGTTTTCTCGAAAATAGACTTACGGGGGGGTTACCATCAGATTCGGGTCGAACCATCGGACTGCGCCAAGACAGCATTTAGGACTAGATACGGGTCATTCGAATACACTGTGATGCCATTCGGACTGACCAACGCACCGGCGACATTTCAGATGACCATGAATGAGGCGTTTAGGCCACTCTTAGATAAATGCGTGATAGTTTACCTCGACGACATACTCGTCTACAGCAGGGATAAGCAGCAGCACTTAGCAGATCTGGAAGCAGTTTTTAAAGTTTTAGACGAGCATCGCCTACTGACCAAGGGTTCCAAGTGCGAGTTCTTCCAGGATAGGTTAGAGTTTTTGGGGCACGTCATTTCGGAGGCTGGGGTTGAAATTGACCCCAAGAAGCTGGACAC